GTTAGTATTAGTGTTTCAAATTTTCCTGTTCATTTTAATCAAATTTGGTCGGTTCCATCCTCATTGAAACATTCCCGAAACCACTCAAAACTTTTGTTTTTCGACTCAGTTTCAACGTAAACCTGTCTGGTAAAATATTGGATAAAATGCGGATCAAACAAACCAGGACAAGGGTATATGCAAGGCTGAAAAAATGTCATCTTTAATTTAGCGAAACGATATTTTTAGCCCTTTTGAATTGCTGATTCGCCAGTCAGAAAGCCTCTTTAAAGCGATATATCATTTATAAGCGAATTTCGGTTCGCCATAAAACATTCCGAAAATGTTTAGCATCGCTTATTATGATGGATTAGCCCGTTTGTGATGTATTTATGCCGCGCACACCTCGTACCATCGACCAAATATCCGTCTTTGGGTTTCGGTGTTTTATTTTCCACCCTGTTTTGCATAACCGAATTATTTCACTATGTGTGTGTGTCGCTAGGGGGCAATTCAAAAATAAATAACGCTAATATTCAGTTGAATACGGCTTGAATGACGGTTTGGTTATTGGATTTCCAAATGGTTTCACAGCGTCAAGAGTAAACTGAAAAAATCTTAATATTTTAGTCAAACGCGGAAAACATTTGGATGTGACTCTCTGGAAAAGACACTGTTAAAATTTAATTTCCCAGAGTTTTATCAAACTATATTCATGCGTGCGACGCAATTTTCAATTTTTTACCTTGAGAGTGAAGGCGGACCTCCCTAAACRATCAACCTGTGAAGGCCAAKRTTTTTGTATATTTTTCTGTATKTTTTTAATWTGCCTTTTTTATWAACTTATACTATTAAACGTCSATTTTGGGTTTYGCACTTAAATAAGTTTGAATGTCTTYCTCTCTCGTTTTTCTGCTCTSTTCAGKGTTTTTCTTGWTTCGGCTGGRATTTTTTTGTTTTCAAATCAGATGTATTTTTACYCATCTAATATGCCTACGATATTTGCGGCTTTCGACCAATATCTGCGCTCCATCCCGTATTTACCAAATATTCCGTCTGTTTTGYCTGTTGATGTTWTATAARTTTTTGCGTTTYAAAACTTTGSAATATTAATTTYATSCTGTTRAAATCATTTGTTTCCCGTTTAACATTCATATTTTTTTTTGGTTTYCAWTCCGATAAAACTCCTTACAATTTTGTGTTCTGTTCTGTKTATAAGCARTTTTCTGGTGGATTTTTTGCCTTAAAAATCMCTCAATTCAAATGACTCTAATGGAAAAACTCGATTGATGTTGTACGCGTCTGATATTARAGCCAMTAGGAGTTTTTATATTTARTAAYAATTTCTGCAATTTTGCSATCGAGTAYTTTATTTCATCTTCGAAGCAAGTCAAAGACAAACACGTGCAAATTAAGCAAATAAACCCGAAAATCTCTGGCTTGCGAGCCCAATTTTTCACTAATACACTGAGAATAGAGCAAAATTACTGGTAAATCAAATCAAGAAACATAAAACTTTGAAAAACCCAATGGCTGTTCATCTGAGTTAATCAGGAAGTTTGTGGCCCTTTAGATTGTCCAGTGGACTTGGGAAAACTTCCGCAGATTAAAACGTGCTGGTTCAGACTGTAAAAAAGCCATCAATCCCGATGATATTATTCCAAGAGATACTTCAACGATTTTATGGGTAATTCAAAGACGTCCAACAGCTATGAAATGCACTTCAGCCATTAATACTGAGACGTTGCATCGTAAAAGACCGCTCATAAATATTGTATTGTCATTAAGCGTTAATAATGTGCAAAATCCGCGGTAGTTTTATCGTTCGAAAAACCCGACCTTTGTGCTATAGAACCTGTAAAAACTTGCAAAAAATTGTGCAAAACGGGATCTAAATGTCCTCCGGTTTAAGAAATGTTGCTGTCTTTTGAATAACTTTTGAATAATAATAAATAAGTCTTACTTTGAATAGTTCTCAAAATTCAATCCAATCTTTCAACAAAACCAAATTTTGCATTAACATAGAGTGAAACGTGCGCTATTTACAGCCGCATCTTCACGCTCAAACACTTTGGTTGTAAACAATTTTTTTACATCGGCGTGTAAATTTAGCCGCACTTTAAATAATTTTTGAAATTTAGTCCGAACTTCTAAGTAAACGAAACTTTCAGGATGCAAAAGTGAATCTAGTTTTAGTTGCAGGCGCAAAAAGCGAATTTTTGGCAAAAACGGCCGGTAAATTTAGTCGCAAAACTCCCTGCAAGTCTCATTTTGAATAATTCTCAAAACTCAGTCGAAACCTTAAACACGACGAAACTTTGCAAAAGGAGAACGTGAATCTTGATCAATTCATGTGAAAAAAAGCGATCTTCAGGCTCAACTAGTTTAGTTGTAAATAATTTTTGATAAAGGCAGGTAAATTTGATCGCGAAAATTTTTGCGAGACTTATTTGAGTAATTGGCAAAATTCAGCGCCAACCTCCAGACAAATGAAACTCTGTGAGAGCATAAAACGAATCTTTCTCTATTTACAGCAGCAAAAAGCAGTCTTTATTATGAAGTGACTTCGTCGTAAATAATTTAAAAAAACGACTAGTAAATTGAATCACAAAAGTTGCAAAGGTCACACTTCGAATAATTTAAAAAATTCAGCTGAAACTTCTCAGAATAGCAAATTTTGTAGAAGCATAGAGTGAAACTTGCTTCAGTTTCAGCTGCAAAAAGCGGGGTCGATTTAGGGACAAAAGTCCCTGCCAGGTTGAGTAATTATCAAAATGCAGCTTGTGCCTCCAAGCAAACCAAACTTTGAGCAAAAACTGCTCTTCAACCTCAAAATGCAAAACAAAATGCGGTAGTTAAATGAATCATGACAAATGGATTGTGAAGAGGACTTGAAAATCGACAATAGATTTTTTAAATCTTCGACTTCGGAATGAAAATTAATTCAGTTTCGGCGTGAGAAAGAAATAATTTGCCTTTAAAAAACCTAGTTAATAAACTTCAATTTCGTATTAATAAAATGTTAATTTATTTGGTGTGCATGCAGACGATGAATAAACCTACAAACTTACAAACGCAAGAGGTGTAAAAAGAGGTCTTAAAGCTCAGCTTTTGTTGCCAGTTTTCGACTTGTAAACTAACGTTTACCCACTCGACACTCGATAAAGGTGTTGCTGCCTCCAACTAATCCCGATTCGACTAAGTAATAATTTGCGTATAGCGGAGCCCTAGTTGATATTCAGGGAAGCGCGAAGGAAACAAACAAACGATAACAAAATTGGAAAAAATGTGTGCGAATTTGTTCGAAAGCTTTACAACGCCCGCAGCGGTTCTACTTTTCAATTTTTATCGTGTCATATTGACGATTTTTTTCGATGAAAATTTGTTTTTCGCACGGCTCTTCAGCCTCCTGAGGCTGTTTTTTTTTATAGTGGCAGTTCGTTTCATTTTGCGATTTCAACGTGTTGTGCGCGAACAGGTCGTTTGGGGAATGGATTTGAATAATTTTGATCCCCAGTGACGGGCTCTAATACACCCATTTTTCCCACTCTCATTCACTTTCAACGGTGAAAATTTAAATACGGCAACGACTAATAACTGGCAGGGATTTTTCCCAACGGCTTCTTGCCAGTTTTCGTCGGGAGAACAATTCCTTTTACGGTCATTCATGGGGGTGCGATTCTACCTTTAAAACACATTCTTGCACGCATAATGTCTCCTTTGCAAGCCGATATCATACTGAGTTGAGTAGAGTTTAAGTCCCAGCGGCTCGGCGCTTTCGGGTTTTATGCACTTGCGAAGTTCAAACACAACTTTGTTCTCCATGAAATCGGTTATTTCTGTAGTTTTCTCGCAGTTTTGCCCCGTTTATGCTAAAGTGTTTTTATCACTTGCAAGTTTCCGGGTGTAGTTTTTATAATCGCCAACTTCTGCCGGCAAAGGCGACCTTTCAAACTGGTTTACGATCGTAGCCAGATTGGATGGAAATCGTGTTTTTATCATACAGGCAGGCCGATTATTTGATTTCTGGTTTTGCCCCTGCAGTGCCTTCAAGGTGCGTTTTTTCCTTGAATAATTTTGAGATGTTTGATAAAATTCTCAAGAGGTGCCTTTAGAGACGCTCATCTATTGCCTAAGTTGGTTTCTGACTTGCAAAAAAATTGGAAACAAACGATAAATTCTTGACCATAGTCCATAATGGTTCTCAAAGTTCAGTTAATATGTTGAAACAGAGCAGACTTTTATGAAACATACAATTAATCTTTGTCTATTTACGCCCTTAAAAGCAGCAACTTGTTTGGTAGTAAAGAAATTCAAATAAACCGCGGGCAAATTTAACGGCAAAATTTGGTGCAACTCTCAGTTTGAATAATTGTCAAAATTCAACTCCAACCTTTACGCACCCAAAAGTTTGCAGAATCATAGAGGAAATCTTGCTCTATCAACTGCCATAAAAACCGCTCTTCGGCCTAATCTGGGTCGGTTGTAAGGAATTTTTGAAACTCAATAGGCACATTTAATCGCAAAAGTCGCTGCAAGTCTCACTTTGAGTCATGGGTGGAATTTAGTGCAATATTTGAATCAAATGACACATTGAAGAAGCATGGACAGAAACTTGCTCTATTTTGCGCAGTCAACATGGCTCTTCAGAATAAATCAATTCGGCTGTGAGGAATTTTTGAAAATGGGCTTGCAAATTTAACCTCGAAAGTCGTTGCAAGTATCCTCGCACAAACTTGCACAATCCTAACATCTAAACACCCCCAATTTTTCTCATCCATTAGCCGAAAAACGATCTATTTCCTGCCGAAAACAATGCTCTTCAATCGCAACTGGTTTGGACGTAAACAATTTTGAGAAACTGGCAGGCATCCTAGTCGTAAAAGTCGTTCCAAGTTTCACTTTGAGCAATTCTGAAAATTCTGTGCAATATTTGAATCAAGGCAAACACCGACCAGGCATAGAGTGGAATTTGCTCTATTGAATCCCGTCAAAATTGCTGCGTAATCTCGACCAGTTTGGCTGTAAAGAATTTTTGAAAATCTGCCAAAAAATTTAACCGCACAAATCGATGCAAGGCTCATTCTGAGTAATTGGCAGAATTCAGCTCTAGCATCCAAACCCATCAAATTTTGTGATTGCATTGCATGAATCGTGGGGTATTTTTGGCAGTAAAAACTGATTTTTAGTTTCAACTTGTTTGGTCGTAAAGAATTTTTGAAAATTGGCGGATAAATTTACTCGCACAAATCGTTGCCACTCTCACTTTGAGTAACTTGAGTCAGAATTCAAAGCCAACGTATCATAAAACGAAACTTTGAGCAAGGATAGGCAAGACTCCATCCTATCTATTGTCGTAAAAGTCGCGTTTTGTCCCAGTTTGTTTGGTTGTTTAAAATTTTTAAAATCGGAGGGAAAATGTAGTAGCAAAAGGAATTTTGAATAATTCTCAAATTTCAGCAGAGGCCTTCAAACAAATCAAACTTTGCACAAGTATTAAGCAAATTTTGCTCTATTTAGTGCTGCAAAGAGCGCTGGTTCGTCTGGTCGCAAGAAATTTTCGAAAATCGGCAGGTAATCGCACAAGCCGTTGCAAGCGTCATTTTGAATATTTCTCAAGATTCAGTCTGTACTTCCAAGCAACCCAAGTTGGCCAATTTTGGCCCTTCAAAACAATCCAACTAAGAGTAAAAAATACTTTGCCGATTTTATATAAATAAAATTTGCACTTTCTTCAAACTTTTGTTTATTCGGATTATCTTCACTATAAAACGATCAGGCTAAAATCTATGGTTGAAGTCGACGCCTACTCTGCGGTCCAAATTTCTGTTTCCTGCAGGCCCTCCAAAGTGCTGAGTTGCGCCTCCTCCAACATTTAGAGTGGATTCGCCATAGCGATTCTTATTGGACCAGACTGGAACTCGTCCATCTACACTCACTGTGTGGCCTTGTCCGTTTGCATGTCCGTATCCCACACTTCCTTTTGAACCTGCAATGCCACTTAAGTTTAGCACGGAAAATAAAAAAAATGGAAATTCTACCATTGGGGTTGACAAATCCTGCGTAACCACCTTGGCTCTTTCCGTTGGCTCCTCCTGCTCCAGACCATTCAGCAGCTTCCCTGGAGGATTTTCCGAAAGTGAGTTTCAACCTCAAATAATTATTCCCTTACCTTTTTAGGCGACTTGCAGGTGGCTTCAAAGCAAACTGTTCCTCCTCTTGATCCTCTGGGGCCTGCAAAGGGAAAGCAAAGGCGCACGCCAATGCGGCAAAAAGTACAAAACCACTGAACAACTGAAACTGCATGTTGACTGTTTCTTCAGCTTCAATTGACTGATAATTCCTGGCTGGTTTAGTCAGGCTTTTATAGGATAAACCGTGTAAATTACCGTCTGCCCCGCAAGGTTATCTAAAGCAGATTGACAATAAAATAACGGCCAGGCTTTGGCGATTGTAATGCAAGCAATAATATAAACAACATAAGATGGGTATTTTGGAATTACCCAAACACTCGACTCTTATCAGAGTGTTTATATTTAACTTTTACAGCATTAATGCCTGAAAAGTTACTCATGTTTGTAAGATTTCTGTGATAGGAAAAATTGATTCTGTGGCGTAAAGGTGGCCGCAACTCGAAGCTTTAGCACGATTTAAAGCAGCTTCAAATTCATTCTTCGCTGCGAGAAGAACGTTCAAAGGAAGCACTGTAAAAATGGTCAATTGAAGTATTACATCAACTTGAAAATTCTTCAAAAATGTCCAGAGGGTGATCTTTAATTGTGACTTTCGCGCTGTATAAAACAGCATATTTTCCACCTGGTGCGATTAGTTCGAGGATTGGCATTGTTTACCCTCGGGAAGAATTAATTTTTTAAATTCAGCTACAGAATATTCATGAAAAGGTTTTGTTTAAACTAGAATATGGCTCAAAAGTCCTTGAGGATGCCCGCAATTCAACACTTTCAAATGGCAAAAAACAGTAGTTTTTCTCTCAAATTAAGTGTCTTGTTCAATCTCTGAACAAACGAAAACTTTATAAAAATTTTCTGCACTACTTGTAGTTGAAAATGTTTCATTAATCGAAAAAAATCCCTGAATGTGGCCTCAATTTGAAACTTGCTGGCTTTAATGAAACGTTATTTTGTACACTGATTGCAGCAGACAGCAAGTTTGTGCCTCATTCGATTTGGACAAGACGCATTTTCAAAAAAAAAGTGTAATTGCCAATTGAAACACTGCAAAAGCGTGCGAACTCATTTAAAAATCGTTGAAAAAGGCAATTTTTGGAAATTTTCGCCTACTGCACAAAATAGTATTTTATTGTTGATGATCAAGCAAACTTTTCGTTTAAGCTAAAAAATGGTTCAAAAATCCCCTGTAGATCGAAACTTTTAGATATGATTAAACATGATTTTATCCAGTAAATGCAACTCTTTGTCAGCGCAAGCACAAGAACATCTAAGTCCAATCAAATTTAAAAAACTACACCTTTTTAATATCTTTGAAATCTTGCTCAAATTTGCGTGATTTCTGCAATGGAACTCGAATAAAAATGTATTTTGTGAAAGAGTTTCTGGGAAAACTGCTGAAGGTGGACGCAAGCAAAGCCAGTATTTTGGGCTAGAAATTCAATAATTGGCAGATCTGTGTCTCCTTCAATGTGGCTCAGAGGAACGTTTGAAGAAAACACTGTAGGAATGATCAATTGAAATATTACATAATCTCGAAAATTCCTCAAAAATTCCCTGCGCCTGATCTTTAATCGAAACTTTCGCGTTGTATAAAACCGAGATCGTTCCACACAATGAGATTAGGGCTCAAAAATGGCTCAAAATTCCTTGAAGATGGCCGCAATTCGAAACTTTCAACTGTCGGAAAACAGTAGCTTTTCTGTGAAAATTTTATAAAAACTATCTGCACTACTTGCTTGTGATGTGAGCACCAGAGTGCAACTTTGTGCCTCGATGCGTTCGGAAAAGACAAATTTTCCAAACAAAAATTAGAATCATTTATTGAAACATTACAGAAATTAACGAACTCATCTAAAAATGTTGAAAAAAGACGATTTTTTAAACTTTCCAACCACTTAAAACAGTTTCTTCTTCGACTGCAAGAATTTGGAGCAGGGAATGGCAAATACGTGAAAAATCGCCAGTGGATTGAAACTTTTAGACATGATTTTGCCCGCCAATTTAAGCAAACTGAAAAAACCATTTCGTCGGAAATCAAAACTGATATCAATATATCTATAACTCCTTTTTTTACTCACTCGCCTCAGTTGCAGCCTGATGCCATTAAAGAGCATGTTGGAACTTTCAAGTTGTTATTCCGGACAGCGTTACACTGTTGTAGCTAGCGAAAAAGTTGAGTTAACAAACGTGCACAAACAAAAACTGGAAACAGTTAATCCAAGCCGATGGAAGCTGACCAAAATCGAAACAGATTCGAATCCAGAGGTTTGATTAACTCTCGGAGTTCATCCAGACTCGACCTTGTTTGAATGGGGGGTTTCGCTCTAACAAAGGTTTGCCATTATAATTACCTACAGCGATCGCATTATTCCCTTGTTGAACGGTCATTGTTTGTCTAGGATCTCATGAAAAGGATTATTTGATATATTGAGTGGGAATTATTAATGATATCTGCCCGGGGCATATTGACTACTTTATGGGGGGTTCAGCTATCAATTTGTTCATGTTGCTCATAAACAGAAACAGGGTCCGGCTATCTAAGAGATGCCGCAGAACTAGTCGGATTTAGATGCTGATTAACCAGGCAATTTGCCCCAACAAATAATTTCACGTGATTTTTGGCTTGTGAATAAAAAGTTTCCAAGTGCGATTTTGAAATATGCCTGGAAACTCTCAAAACACCCCTAACATCGAAAAATATGCACCTCGTCTCGACTAAATCATAGACAACGATCTTTATTGCGAGGTTTTCGGTACATTACTTTACATAATTGAATATTTTCTTCAAAACCCTCGCTAAACCTTAAAAATATACGAGCGAAAACTTGCCGAACACTTTTAAATTTTAAATAAGCCTCCTACTCAAGAACGGTGCTGGTAGCTTGTTAGTGAGCTGGTTTATATGAGGCTCATAATAATTTTAATCAGAAATTCCACGTCTTTACTGGGCAAGGGGCTTGGATAATTGCTATCCAGAAAAATCCCAAAATTGGAGTTGTCAGAATTGTTGTCACGGATCGCGTGGTTAACCGGGAGTTTAATACAGTGTAAGTTTTGTAAGTTTCCAGGACATTCTTCCGGGAATTAGCAACGTGTTCTGTAAAGTTTCCCGGCCGTTTGCTGTTTTACACCCTTCAAACACGTGCAGGCAAAAAGATGAAATTAGATCCTTTAAAGTTGAAGAGGGTTTGAGCCGAAAGTACTGAATTAGTCTCCTAGTGTTGGATAATCTAGTTTGCAATTTCCTCCAAACAATAATGGCATTGTTGCTGGTTTGGTCAGAGCGAAGGCTCTTAAATCGTTAATAAAACCAAACTCATTAGCTGCTTGAAGCAGCCGGCTTTCAGCAAGGAAATTTCTGACTTTAATTAGCGCGTTCCATGAAATCTCCATTATAACTCTTCGATCAACAAAATTTCGCTGCAATTACGCCATTCGCTGCTATTTAAAAGGAAGCAACTTTATAGCAACTAAGTAAGGATGCGCTACTCGTGTTTTCCTTGGTGAGTACGAAAACATTTTCAAGAGTTTCGCCACCCATCAGCTGCAGTATTCGACTACTCGGGAAATTTTACAGTAGTTTTAATTAGTGTGTATACGGGAGTTAAAAACAAACTTTTCCAACAGAAACACTGGAAACTTTAAATTCTACAGGTTTGTTTATGTCTGCTTGATAAAATGCCCTATTTAGTTCAGCGGGTTTCGGTACAAGATAAAGAGCTTTACATTTAACGAAAATCCGCATAATCCTTTTGCCGGTTCCACCATCCATATGGGTCAGCCTGGAAAAAACGTGTCTCCTAATTAGTCAATTTCGAACTGAACTTGATCTGATTCAGAACGACTCGATTCCTGCAGAGCTTGGAAAAAATTACTGTTTTGGCCAAAAAATGCCAGTTTGTGATCTCTGGACGTTTCAGGCAGCAGGGAGATTTTGGGCCATTTTCTAGCTAATGAATGCGAAAGTTTCCTTGGTCATCAAAGGGTTTCTTCAAAAATTCAGTATTTGCAACTGCAAAAACCTGCAGACTTTTGGTCGAATAAGAAATTTCATTGCTTTTTGAACGAATTCTAGTCTTCCTGAAGTGTTTCAATTGACAATTATTTCTGTTTTTTTGGAGAAATAATCACGTCTAACAGGAAAAGCACAGAGTTGTACTCGATGGGCAAATTACATAATAAGGACACAATTTTTGGAAGGGAAACGAAAAATCAAAAGGTCTTTAATAACGTCCTGATTAGTGGCTTTACGAAAAATATCGAAAGCATTTTTTAATGGGTTTCTCAATCCTCTGTCCAGTGGCGTGCATAAATTCGTGCCCTTTCTTTAAGTGATTATAGCACGATTTAGAGATTTTTTTTTTAATTGGTTCTGAAACCATATTTTAGCCGCCTTTTGAGCTGCCGGACATTTTCTCAAGAATTAAATTTTTCGTAAAATGCCTGGTTTTCGAGCAAACAATTAAAAAGTGATTTTGCAGACATTTTTTTTAAATCATATTTTGGCTGGTTGTTTAAAATGCGCTCAATAAAACACAAAAAGCCATCCGTTGCTGAAAAAAATCCTCTGTTAATTTTTGGGGCAAAATGAGAAACGAAAGACAAACAAATCCTTAGTAGCTCCCTAATTGGTCGCTTTGCAAAAAAATCTTAAGAATTTTTTAATGGGAATTGAAATCTTTTACTTATCTACATCTGGAACATTGAAAAGTTTTTTACAAATTAAATTTGCGGGTATTTTTTCAAAAATTCTGCACGGATTCAAAAACGATATTCATAGCTTCTGATCAAACTGTTTCAGATTTTTCAAAACAAAAATTTTTGCGCCCTCTTTTGAATTTTTCAAGAATTTAGATTTTGAGATATTTTTTCAAAAGTTCTTCGACGGTTTTGAAAAGATTTTTCTTTGCTGCCTTTCTAGCTGCTGAACATTTATCGATAAGAATTTTTATGCAGGTAAAATACAGAGTTTTCGATAAAAAAATTGAAAATTAGAATTTACTAAGAACTTTTTTTCGAAAATGTTACTTGTTGAAAACCCAATAAAATATTTTGAAAATTTGTTTCAAGAATCCGGCAACGGTTTTAACGAAAATTTGAGTTGCTTAACATTTTAGGAAGAACATATATTTTTTTATGAAAACCTGGTTTTGCAGCAAAAAATTA